CCATATAGTTGGAATGACCTGGCACCAGAATGTGATTCTTGGAGGAACGTGAAGGTAATGGGCTAGTTTCAAGTCGCCGCTGTATGTCTGAGCCTGACCTAGCACAATGGTGCTGTAAACTTTGAAAATCATGACGCCAATCGGGCGACCTGGAATTATGAACCCTGCAAGGAAGGGAGAAATAACGTTCAGAGCCAAACCCAACATCGAAACAGCGAGAATTGTGCATGTCGGTATGATGAAAACAATGGCCAGTAAATTTGCAATAATGAATCCCCACCAGGGAAGTTGAGAGGAGTATCCTTCGACTGTGGCGAGGCCCAGAGCCAGGGACACAACAAGTAAGACCAGATACCACCAGTCAGGGGCATCTTTATACTTTTTCATTAGTCTCATATGGACATCGGGCTCTTGGTTGCGGGCCGCTTTGAAGCGGTACCAGATTTCCTTGCCATGAAACAATCCGACGTGAACTAAGGCGGCGGTCAAGGCCGCAAATGAGAGCCCATAGTTCAGTGCGAATGTAGGTGCAAGGAAGAGAGGCGAATACTCTTTGTACTTTTGAACATTAAAAGTGAAGCCGTCTCCAAGAATGCGGCTGACATTGTATTTTTGTTGTGTGTTATCATACGTTTGCGATGTGTTGATTGGGAGATACTCGCTGTAAAGGGCTCCTGAGTAGGCAATTCCTATGGTGGTGATGATCACGAACAGAATCAGGCCGATCAGCGCACTGAGGAGCGAGTGTACAGGTGCCAAGAGCGGATCACCGAGGTATGCAGAAATATAAGTCCAGTCGAAGGTGATAGGAATTAGAGATAGACCAGTGAAACCTCCAAACAACTGATTGAGGACAATATTGTCGGGTCGAATCCACGTGACAAAAGCGAACACAGAGAGTCCTATCATTTGAGACGTTAGAGAATATCATCTATAGTTCGCTGGCCGAGGATTTAGGGAGTATTTGAATGAAAGAACTATGACTAACCTTGCCACAACACGCCAGGAATCCAGTAATAGCAAAACATTCCCAGAAACACGTAGAAAAAGTACCGATATCTACTAATCACCCAGCCGTTCGAGTGTATTCCGTCGCTTTTGCTTTTGTCATGTAGTGCATAAAAGAGAGAAGTGTTTGCGAATTGGTTCGGCCAAATCATAGCCGATGGCCACACCAAGAAGCGCCGGCAAAGACCCGCCAGACCAATGCCAATGAGCTGAGAGCTAAGAGTAAATAGTAGCTGAAAGCCCCATCCCATGTTCAAATTGTAGAAAGGTTTCCCTTGAAGTGCTAACAGAGCGTCGGTACTGTAGGCATACCCGATAGATACATTAGACATGAGAGTAATGACGACATGTTCCTTGATGTTGAATGGGCCAGTATTGAATGTCCAACGTAGCCCAAACGTATTGAAGACTCTCATGGGCATGACTTTTGCCCAGAGACAACCAATTGGGTAGACCAACAATTGGACTACGATGGACGGAAAGTTGATTGCGGGGCTCCTGTCGGTATGATTCAGTATCCGATCAAGAGAATAGCTCGATATGATCTGGCGCATCATACCTCATGCTTAGAAACATGTTCAAACCACTACCGATAGTAACAAAGATCATGCCTAGGACCCAAGCGCGCACGGTATTGGCAACCTCCTCACCGTCGGTGTTTCTCACGGCGGCGCGAACCTCTTCGTAAGGGGAGTCTTCTGTAAAGATCTCGTCTGCCTCGGCAATTTCTTCAGCATCGCCATCTCGAAGTGCCTTGTTAAGGAAATCGACTTTATCTTGAGGTAGATTCGGATCGAACTGATGGGCTTGCTGCACCTTCTCAAGATCGGCAGTAGCTTGAGACACATCAACCGCCTTATGACTCTTTTCCTCCGTAGAGCTTGCGCTTTCAGCAGGCTCTACTTGGCTGATCTCTGAATCCGGGACATCTACGGTGGATCTGAAGGGAAGCCGCATGTTGGTAGACCTGGGAACGTTGAACAAGGGATGTGGGCGACTTTGCCATTGACAGCTCGTTGAGAGAGGGGCGTCCGGTCAATTTTATTAGTGGCAGATACACCTCCCAGTACAATGGGAACAACGCCCGGGATCCGGAAAGCTTGTCACATTGTCATACCCGGCCTCGGTCCGTTATCTCTCATACCCTGCCAATTGGACTCCACAGACGATCTGCAGGCTTATATCGTTAACTAACTTCTAGGAGGAGAATAGCCCGAAGTTGTTCTCAGGGGTAGATTATTTCAGAAGATGTCAAATCAACTTTATCGGCATTAATGCATACATATTGTACATGCAGCGCGTTTTTACCGCGCGGACTAGCTGATGGCTCACTATTTAGAATAATCGTTATATCTGCCTCAAGCTCTAATCACTATACATAATATTGGACCCCCTCGATGTAGAGAACCAAGGCAAATTGCATCTAACATGGAACATGCATTCAGTTGGTGCGGTGTAATTGTCGCCGAGGAGGTGGAACAGAATGAGCCATTGATAAGAGATTCGGCGTCAACCGGCTCTTATCGGTAGGAAAACCTAATGAGAAAATGGAGGTGGAAATGCAATGATTTGATTGAGTGACGGAAAAAGAACCCGTGCACCGATGATTTTGCTGGACACGAATGAAGTCAAACCTCTATCTCGGAAAGGAAGGTCGTTAAACGGTTACGCGTGGTCAGTGCGGAGTCTGTATGTCCCCACCAACGGATATGTTGTGCGCCAAGAATGGCGATCAGCATCCGTAAATATGCTGGGGGGTTCAAACGGTTTATGGTGAGGGAGGACTCGCGACCGGCGGGGCGAAGTACACGTGTAATACTCCTCGGCCAGGGTAATAGAGATTACGTGTAATTCGGCTAGGGTATCGTAACCTGTTCAACGGGGAATTACTACCTTGGCAAATGTCGGTAGGGCCACAAGAATGAACGAAGTCTTCGAGGCAGCAACAAGTATCATATGTCTAGTCACTTAATATTGATTTTCTTGAGAATTAATATGCATTACCCTAGTGGAGGAGTAATAACAGCTTATGGAAACACATAACGATTTTGGCTGGTAACAAATTGGACAAGTCTTGAACTCAACCGTATGAACAGAATGGCGAGGAAAACCTAACCTTTTGAGTCATTCACATGGAGATTTAAGATCTGATTGACAACACGTCTGGCTGCAAAGAAATTCATTTGTAATCATTTGAGACAAGTTCACCATTTTCGATTTTTTAGCGTCTGTTCTGGCTTTCAAGCCTAGAATAAGTTGTAAACTACAATCTTGCTTTCTTTCACCAATGGCAAGGTGCGGGTGTAACGGCCGATTTTCTGTTTTCTATTATGGAGAAACAATCAAATAACGAAGCACTTAACACTAAAAAAGGAGGACTAATAAGTAGCATACGAATGCATCAAAAGAAAATTGGGACTGCTAATAGCAATAAGCATCCTCTTCGCTCATTCTCGTATCTGGGAAGTTGTGATATGCACACAGTCCTATTCACCAAGCTGAAAGTAGATGAACTACTTTCACTGAAAGGTTGTTGCTTTCTGTATGAATCATTCTTGCTGTAGCAAGTGGCTTGAAGTCAATGCCAGCGGCTCGTCTATTATGCAAGCACCGCTGCCCAGACGAGCTAAGTCAGCCACGAATGTCAGGTCACCCATGAATGAAGCTAAGATTCGGAGCTTGACATGGCCACGAGCCAATCATATGTTGAAGCTGTCACAAATTGGGCAAGCATCCTGAACAAGCTTTAGTATTTCCCAACTTATTAACCTACAATAAGCGAAGGCCTTGCTGTATCATTGACATTGTTATGTACAAGGCCAAAAAAGCAGGTCATTTACATCCCGAGTGAAGATGAGAGTGATCCAGTTGGCTTCTTAGCAAGAATGGCCACCAGGCTGGATTTCTCGCACTGTGAGCAGTTAATCGTAGAGATAGGGCAATATCATGGGTCGAAGTGTAGGCATATAAACAGGAAGTACACTGCATAACAACCCACATGGTGATCTTTCAATGCCCAAAATGCAGTACTGCATCAATGGCCCGGAGCCATCTCCACGCCTTGTTCTTTGGAAATTGAAACATACACATGGCTAAGGCGGACGCTGTCTATTGACCGTACTCGGAGTCACCAAGCAGGATTGACAATGATCGCTAATACCTGAGGACGGCCTCAGACTTATCATATACTCTCTGATGCTAATGATCTCATCCTAGAACATCGAGCTTCCACATAGAATGAAAACAAGACGCGCGGGAATGGAAGAGTTTTTTTTTAAGCAGGTAACCTGGAAGTAAGTTGCCATTTGGGGAGTCACGCGATTAATATCGACAGCATCAATTTATAGCAAAATATTCTGCGCCGTCGACGGTTTTTGCACTATTGCGGTTGGAAATTTTGATGACTGATTGGCGAGACAAGTCTCCTTCCCACTCTGTTAAATATAGCCGAGATGCGTGAACCATTTTTTCCCTTCTTGGATTCCGTGCTGATTGGCAGGCGGGGCAGGTCTGATAGGCGTTGATCACTTGAACGGAGAAAGAGCTGATTTTAGTGGAAGGTGGCTCTTCTCCCTCCCCCACCTCCACCACGATGTAACATCAGCATGGTGGTGCTGATAGCTGCGAAATAGGTTAAAGCTAGTCTTATAACGATGCCGACGAAGGTGTACCGCCTGCCGCCCCCGGCCCCCCAAATCACACTGCTGGGAGCAGGGATCTGGTAAGAGAGGGGTTCAATCCAAGGCGAACAACGTTGCACATGCCGAACTTACTTACCTCACTCCGCTCCGCTGATAAGGGTCGTAGCTGGTTTTCATTTGGCCGGGCGCTGTCTCTTGCATGTGCGGCCGACCCTTAGTCGCCTTGACGACACTGCTATGTATGAGGATGGATCCGACTTCTCGGATCACTTATTGACCTGAGACCGCAGCCTGCATTTTTGGCATTTGTTATCCTTCTTCTACATGATTCACGTTGACGACAAAGCCAGTATCCTAGACATTGCGAGATTTGCCAACAATGGCCGACGTTGTACCTAAGAAGAGCACAGCGTCGGAAGGGGCAACAGTCGATGATGTCAAAACTGGCACTCATGAAGCTGTGCTAGCTGAAGCTATTCGATATGAGCACGAACTCACCTTCATACAAGCCGTCAAGCTTTATCCGGCTGCTATCGGCTGGTCAGCTTTCGTATCGCTCGGCGTCATTATGCTAGCATTCGACCCGCAGCTTATCGGTAACCTTTTCGCCATCCCGCAATTTCAGCGAGACTTTGGATACAAGTTCGGGGATGGTTATATCATCAGTGCACCATGGCAGACTGGCTTGGTGAGTATGCCGCTGGGTCTTGTGAACTTTCTTAGCTGATCATGATGTTTCTCTAATTATAGTCTACGGGCAATCCTGTAGGGCAAGTTGTTGGCGCATTGGTCGCTGGCTACCCGATGGACATGTTTGGTCGAAAGTGGACTTTTGCGGTGTGCGTCGTTCTGACGGCCGGTCTTATTTTCTTTCAATTCTTCGCCCGTTCGCTCACGATTCTTCTTGTCGGTGAGCTACTTGGTGGATTGGTTCTAGGATGCTTTGTTGTCATTGCGCCAGCGTGAGTACACGGCATTTCCACTATTCTGCTTCAAGGTTGTTTTCCTCCTTGCATAGGAAACACCTTGCGACAACCTTTGTAATAAGACTCTAGCCAGAGTCGTGTTGTTTGTCTTCACGTCGGTGGATTTGGACTAATTTCTCCAATATCAAGCTACGCCTCCGAAGTCTGCCCAATGGCCCTCCGAGCCCATTTGACTAGTTACGTCAATCTGTGCTTCGTGACTGGACAGCTACTTGGTAATGCCGTCACCAAGGGGACGTCCGAGATGACCAATCACTGGGCATATTCTATACCCTTTGCTCTGCAATGGTTCTGGTGTCTGGTAATCATTCCAGGAATTGTTTTCATTCCGGAGAGTCCCTGGTGGCTAGTACGGCAGAAACGACTCGAGGACGCAGAGAAAGTTTTGCGGAGGCTCGCATCCAAGAAAGTCAATGTGGCCGCGACGTTGGCGGAGATCGTGGAGACAGATCGCCTTGAGCAAGAGCTCGAGGCAGGAAGCACCTACATGGATGTTTTCAGAGGTGTTAACTTGCGCCGGACTGAGATCGCAATTGGAGTCTACTGTACCCAGGTTCTCAGTGGTATCTATCTCATCAACTATGGCACTTACTTCTTCCAACTTGCTGGATTGCCAACAGACAAAGCCTTTGATATGGGCATTGGATTTTTAGGTAGGTTGCGTTATCAGCATCTTCTTGATTGAATTAGTTTACTGACGGGCAAAATAGCTGTCGGATGGGTAGGTACCATTTGCTCTTGGTTTCTCCTCGTAAGGATCGGTCGGCGACCACTCTATGTCGTCGGGATTGGTGGGCTCGCTGTTTTCATGTTCATTATTGGCATTTTAGATTGTATTCCCGGTCGGCCACATGGTGTCACCTGGGCGGAGTCGTCTTTGATGCTTGTTTGGTAAGCAACTTTCGGAGTTCATCCTTTACCTGCTATAGCCTTGAACGGTAATTACTGATCTTTAATGATATAGGAATTTCGCATACGACTTGTCCATAGGTCCTGTCTGTTTCGTACTCATCTCGGAATGCAGCGCGACCCGAGTGAGGTCTAAGAGTATAGCTGTGGCGACTGCTGCTCAAGCTGTTTTGGGCATCATCATGACTGTTGCCATCCCTTACATGATCAATCCCGACCAGGCCAATATGAAAGGCAAACTGGGTTTCTTCTATGGTGGCCTTGGAGTCTTCTGTACTATTTGGTCTTACTATCGTGTTCCAGAAACAATGGGGAGAACATATGGTAAGTTTTTGCTGTCGTCCATCCGAACCAAATCAACACATACACCACATTCTTCTTTGACAGACACTTCGACTAATCAATCAACTCCACGGATATAGAAGAATTAGACTTGCTTTTCGACAAGAAGATACCTGCTAGGAAGTTCAAAGGATACAAAATTGATTCGGCCATTGCTGCCGAACGTGAACACTAGACAGTCGTACCTGAGGGTTGAATTCAAGACCTCCGCGTCAGGAATATTTGCTCTGCATAGCTTTCACCGAATGAAGGTATGGAAGAGGCGATTATGAATAAATGTTTTCTTGATAATAAGTTGGGTTGAGCTAACATGCTCCCTGATTGTACCTAACTTGAAGTTGGTATTAATGCCATCATATTTCCTGTACCCAAACAATGTTCAAGTGCTCGATCAACTGGTGATCTGGTATTCCTGTCAATACGCCGCCTACCCAAACGCCTATGATTCCCTTGTTGTGCCAACTAACCCAATCGAACGCCAGAGCCATGCTATCCTTTTTCGATGCACCTCAATTCCACACCCCTCTGGCGCCGCCTCTGCTCATGACCAGCATCTCAAATCCTTCAACTCGGCCTCTCAAGGCCGCATTTTCCTTTGCGAGGTTCCTATTCCTCCTCTCCAGATGTGCGATGTATTCAGTGGCCTTGCTCAGGATCGTAGCCTTGTTGAGTTTGTGTGCAGGAGTCAAACCGCCGAGATCGTCCTCCTCACCAATCTTCATTCCCATACCCATGCCAAAGGCCTCGTCTTCAGCTTCCTCGCCACTGCTGTTGGTATGCTCCAGTCTGTGGACCATGACACGGAGAGCGGGCACGGAGTCTCGCAGAGCGGCAATCTTGTCATTGAGGTTGGTGCGGTACCGCTTCTCAATCATGTTGTGAGCAGTCTTCTTGGGCGGAAGCGCAATGTCATTGGAAGTAGGCGATAGATGTCGCCGTTGGGCGGGAGGCGGCGAAGCAGACGATCGAGGTGATGAAGTGGAGGAAGACTCTGAATCGCTGGATTTGCGCTTGAGGCTGTTGCGTTGGCGCCGGGATGCCTCAGTTGTTGATACCTTGGCGGCGGGCATGGCGCGAGGAGTCTTTAGAGCTGGGGCCGAGACGGGAGTAGGCCGGTTCGAGACTGGGGGTGACTGGAAGATAGGTTGCGTATCGTTCATGCCCTCACGCCCAAAGGCAACATCCTCTGGGATGGGGTTTGACAGATCCATGGGGTTGATGGCCGGGCTAAGGGAGATGTTTCGGGTCGGGATAGAGGAGAGAATCGGGCTGTCGTATGGCTCTGTCTTCAGATACGATGCTGACTCGGTTGATTGGTCGACCTTGTCCCAGGATGCCCAATCGGCTCCGGTGGGTAGAGTGTAGCTTGCACCGAACACGGGTGACAGGGGCGAGCTGGGAGACGGAGCAGAGTCGGTAGTGAAGTCGGTGCTGAAGTCCTCTAGGGGGCTGTATAGCGAAGCTGGAGAGAAGTCTGCATATGTCTAATTGATCTCTTAGTTAGAATCGTTGAACTCTTGAGTATGCGCCGAGCAATTCCGAAATCCAGCAGACAAGTCTCAGCTACCGGACGGATGGTGATAGAAATGCCGCGCCTTGAGACGGCCCAGCCGGCCGGGCGAGCGGCAGAGACAACCGAGACAAGAAAGTAGAGAAACACTGTCCCGATTGAGTGGACAAGAGGAGCGCGTGAGCACGAGCGACTTGCTCGAGAGATCGTGTGTAGAGTGCGCAAACAAGATGGGAAGACCGGGTGTGTATGTAAGTGTGAAGATGATAGAAACAGTGTACTGACCTGTTGCTGCTTGAGCTGATACGACTGAGTGAAGGGGTCGAATGATAGCGGCTGGTTGAGTGCGGCTGCGCCTGCCATTGTATGCCTCATAGAATGGCCTTGCGGGTGTGTGTAAGCGATTGTTTTGCGTGTCGTGGACGGGATGACTAAGTTGCAAGTCTGTGGTGCTTGACTGAGGTGGTGTTACTTGGGAGCGTGATGTGACACGATGGCTTCAAGGGTAACTTCAGTTTTGTGGTCCGGTGTTGACGAGGTGGAGTGAGCTTTCTGGACGATGATGATCGAGATGGCGAGCAAGCCGAGTGCAGCATTCGAGGAGCGTTTGTACGATATCTATAGGTCTTCAGCATGTCCAATGTCCAGGGCTGCCATTGCTGAGAGCTGTGACTCTTGTGAGCCCGCCTGGCCGGACGCCGTGGCTGCGTCGGGCTGGCTCGGCAAGTGTGGAGAGGCCCGGGCTCTGGAGCGTCTGGAGCTGGGCGCATGGCACGGCCATGGGATGGTCCCAGTGTGCCAATGGGCGCATGGCCCTGGGCATGGCAATTGAAGCCCAGCATGCAACTTTCGATGGAGGGCTGCCGATCGTACGAGAGCGAAAAAGACCTGGGCGTGGAAGCCTTTTCACGGTCTAGAACGGGTGTGTTACGGAAACGGCCACGCTAGTTGCTCCCCATACCCTTTACAGTGCAGTAGCAAACATGTCTGTCTGTCTGGGCAGTACTATCTCTGTTATGCTTCACCCTAATAATACATTCATGTGATGTCATGGCTCTACTCTCACATCCTCCCTTTACTCTTGGTAGCTGTTTCGTTCAACCTAGTCTCTGTCTATGTCTGACTCTACAGTGATGAAAATCGAATGAGAACCCTGCGATGCTCGCAAATCTATTACTTATGTCGATGCCAGCGGTATGCTCTCTTCGGGGTTCCTTTCTGTGCCCCTCAAAAAAGAAATGCCAGCTGAGCAAAACACGAATCGATTATTGGGCAAACTTGGAGGCGCCGGAGGGGACCGGTCAGGTGGATGTATGCTGTAATTACAGAGCCTGAGTTCCCGTAAAGGGCCACCAAGTGGGTGACGCCACTTGCATCCCGTCCCATGCCATCATGCATGCCCCGTGTCGATCCGGAGAACCCCTAGGCTCCTAGGCGCCTTGGACCCTTGGACCCTGTATACAGGTAGTCAGGCACACTAAGTTCTCCAAGTTCTCGCGGTAGACTACAACACCGGGGCCGAAGAGAACTGGCGATGCTACTATCGTATGGGATTTTGAAGCCTATGGGTGGTAGCACTTGAGATTCCTATTTCCCCAATATGGCTTTCTCTGCTACCTAGTAACGTTGACTGTGCCTGTACCTTACCACGCCCCAGGTCCCCAAGTGAAGAAGCGTAGGCAATACCGGAGAATGTCTGGCCCGACCGACTCATGCGTCCTGTAGTGCAGCAATCTGCTCCGAGGCATCCCATGTTCACCAAGCGAATGCTTACTCTCGCAGTGTAAAGCAATCATTGTAGAACGAGGCAGAGCTTATCTTGCAGTTGTCACAGTTGATATATTGTGCTTGCAACAGACTGCCAAGTTACATGTCACCGAGCCCAATTGGCCTCTAATGCAACAGTGGAAAAGAGTTCCAATGGCTTAATTGAACATTGAACGTGGTACATCGACAGTGCTGATCATGCTCACCGTATGCGGCACCTTCGAGGTAGATACCGTAGATCTGAGAGTCTGATTTCTCTTGCATGCAACTCGTAAAGTGGGTGTTGCGAAGTGCAGTGAAGTGAAGTGAAGCACAATAACGCAGTAAAGTGAAGACATTGGCAGTACATCACGCAAAAGGAACAAAGCCAATCAAGACGCCCAGAATACTCAATACGGGAGTGCTGATAGGGCAATTGCAGATGACTGATCTCTGTGCTGGGGTAGCTCACCTACAGGATTTTGCTTCTTCACTATCTGCCTCTTTCTCGCGGATGCCACTTTTGTACATACGATTGTCCCAAAAGTGGCCTGATGGGCCGAGGTGGGGCCTAGGTCCAGGCCACCTTCGCCCACAAAAACAAAAAACGCGTGAGCGGGCGAGCCCGTCGTCGCAGCTGTTAGCACTCTCGTACCTTTTCCCGCACGCAATGTGGTGTCTCTACCCGGACCCCATCTCGAGAAATTATCGTGCTTCGGAAAACCCCCAGGGGACAAAAAATCTCGACCATCCACGTTACAGGCAAGATTTCCCGACAAACAGACAAAACAAATGCATTGCGGAACCGGGCCAGCGTCATCTTCCGGGTTGCCGGCACTGGCTGGGTGGTTTGTCGTTGACCAGAGACGTGTTCTACAGTTGCAAATGCAGGCAATTGGCGATACTGATTGAGAAGAAGGCCGCATCCTATGACTTGATCGTTGACTCGGGTAATGCATCTGCATACATGCTGCATGTGCATCGCCCGGGCTTACGGGACCCACTCACGCCGGAGAGACGCCCGTGGCCGGCCGGTGCCGGACATGTTGTGTTCAAGCCGTCCACAACTCCCTCCGATACTGGCGCATTGGACGAACCGCACATGGATTTGTCAACTCTCCCAGATGACCGTAATCTCCTGTGTCCTCACTTGTAGGTTGGCGTGGCTCTACGCGTTGGAGATGGCCCTTGATCTTCTGCGGTAAGAAATGAAGGAACTCTTGCGGCTGAGTTGTGACCGGACCGAACCCTGAGAGCCATAAGGGCGTGTTATTCGATGTCTCTTCTTGGTTTGACATGCAGTCAGCCAGCTCTATACTGCTGATATGAGCCCCTTATTTTGGGATGGTGACGGCGTTCATCTGCTTTTTCCCCTTACGTCCAACTAATCCATAGAAACCAATTGCGGAATAACCTCAACCTCGACCTGGTTTCGTGGCACTACCAGCCGTTGGAGCTTTCGTATCTCATAGGATGTAACTCTCTGGTATCGCAGCTATCATCGTGAAGGAACTTGCTGTGTCGTCTCTACGATACCCTTGATCCGTGAATTTAGACACAGCTTGCTAAATTTGAGGTATTGTGAGACGAGTGGTTGACGGATACACCGGTTCGTCTCGTAAAGGGTCAAAAATTTTCCGATGTATTTCTTCTATTCGAACCACGTTGACTAAATGTAGCCTATATATCGGAGGTAAACTTCAACTAGCGGTATCGGTATTTTAAGCTATATAGATTAGTATTCTAATTTATGGCCTTATATGCGCTCATATTACCATAAGCCTGCGCCCGCTGATGCACTGAACTAGTCTCACTACCGTGGGCTACTATAGAGAGTAAATGAAGACTATAGATAAGACCTGTCCATCGACGTACAGGGAGGGCAAAGTGACAATATCTTTGAGCCGAGAGGACAGAAAACTGTATAACCCGCATTGAACAATGGTGATATATGAGCTGGTGTTGAAGTTTAAACTCACTGGGACTTTGGAGATCTGAGCAATCTTAGCTGACAAACGCCTTCGAGTAAAAGGCTAGGTTGAATAGTTGTGAGCATTTCTTTCTCGAACTAGGTGATCACGAACTTATGTGGCACTCGGGTAACAAGTCCCAAAACGCTACGGTTTCGAATTTGGGAAAGCATTGTACTCCGGCCCCTACTATCGGCCTCTTCAACCAAGGATGGGTTCGAGAGATAAGTCTAGGAGCTTTGAATGGTGAATGACTAAGAAAAGTAATCTAAATGAAGATCTCGACACCACTCAAGCTCTTGGGCTACTTGAATATTAAAGAGCAATTACCGGGTGTTCTTCATCACACCCCAGGCGTCTCGACAAACTCAGATACCGCACTGATACTTCTGGAACATTTCTAGATGGCAAATAGCAATCTACCCAGATTCGACGTATTTAAGAGAGTGTATTGTGGCTTTTCAATAGCTGTAAATAGCTTATATTTTTCTCAAACTATCCCTAGAACAGCTGCTGTCAAGCTTGCATGAGATTGTCAGGTATCCGAGCGAGATTAGGATTGACACAACAGTTTTACTGATCATCAGGCCACAATATAATCCTTGAATAGGTCAGGGTCAAGAACATACCCTCAAATATATTTCTCCGGGTTGACTAGCATGCAATAGGTTAATGCTAGACACGTGTAGTGGATCTCAAATATGTCCAGCTTTCGGCAGGCTACTTGTCACAAAATAGTACTGATGAATAACCATAAGCCAAATCAAATGTTTTCAAATGAGGAGCACGTCAAAGAGCGCGAATAACCATGAGTTTAGTACCCCTAAATAGGAGGCCGAGCTGTCCACTCGTGATTAACTGAGACTTGAGGGTTAGCTACAAGTATCAGAAGCCACTCCATGATCTAAAGCTTTAGAGACGCGAGTTATATTCCGCATAACTTTCTGAGTACACCATAGAGATTTTAGAGACAACTTGTTCATTATGCAAGGCCGCCCAACACCAAACCTTAGCTTTTGCTAAGGTCATGAATTGGATAGATTATCACACGGGATAGCGACCTGAACCATGGATGCAGCAAAGGGATGGCCAGATAAGATGGGAACAATGCCGGCATCGTCAAATATCAACGTTGATGATTGTTCAGAATACGTCTTGCCTAGACCTGATCCGTATCCTTTCCTCGTAGGTTATGCTTCCATAATGGGCAGGCATCTTCGTTATACTGGCTTTGGACTTGATGCTATGTGTGTGGACGCCTTGTACCGACCACAGCCACGTACATTTATGTGAGAAGTCAGAACGGATGTAATTAGCTTAAGGTCAATCAATACTGGCAAGCTATTATTGACAGTCGCGGCCAGGAAATGATAGTCAATAGGAACGGCTTGGATGTATCGGATTGATTGCATACGAATGATTACGCATGTATAATTGAGAGCAAAACATCAAAGAGTACACCGCCGTAAACTGGAAAAGACCAAGTCTCGGAAAAGGATGCAACTGAGCCCAGAAAATTTGTTCCATACATAGTGGAACTCCCGAGGTGATGCTGGTCAGAAGCTGTAAGAATGAATATTCTGGCCCTTCAGAGCGTGATCCAAATAACACATCGCGAAGCTTTGGCAAATTCGTGCTAGCCATCATATGCCGGTCCTGGCTTAAGCCTAGAAGACGCTGTTTTCGGCCATCAGTACATGGAGTACTTACCACACGATTCCACTAGACCCAAGGGGCCTTTCGGCACCAGTTCCGGATGTATCAGGTAGATCGGTCGTCCTTGTCTGGGAAACCGCGCCATGGATCGTCCGGGTAAGGTTGGCGCACTTGGACATTTCTCTCTTTGACAGCGGATGGCGCATGAGAAGCCAATAACAGCGGACAGGGGCGTTTAGCCGTGCTTACTCCGACGGGTCGCCCAGATTTTTGAATGCGGAGGTCCACAGATCTGACAGGGGACCTAGGCTACCCTCAACGGGTCGTGTTCTGGACAGTATTTACTCTATGTAGCTCTATGATGGAGATTCGAAGGTCAAGATCTGATGTCGGATTGGAGGGTTATTGCCAAGTGGTGATTTCAACCGGGCGGCCGTGGTCATGGGGGAGCTAGCACGCGGCCACTTGGTATGGGAACGAATGGCTTTCAAAAGGTACTATGTAGTGTCTATTCACGGGGAACGCAGCTCCGCCACCCCCAGATTCGTTCAATAGCAAGCACTGGAGCAAGTCGTGTAACGGAAGAATTTGGGTAAGAGTGGGACCTGATCTAGATTCGTGCTCATAGAGGGCAGTCCTTGTAATCGGCCGAACATACTTGGGTAAATGCACCCCTCATATCCCTTTTGTAACGAGCGTCATCCCATCGCCGAACTTCTCAAAGCTGTGAGAGCACCAATGAGGACTGCGCCGATAAACATAGCGTGGAATACGGTGTATTGCTTGGAGAGAGTCATTCTGGACACAAGACGAGAAGTACATCGCGTATCGAACATGGTACCTTCTGTGCTTTAGAGAGGCTGCGGCGGGGCGTAACAAGGTTTACATCGAAGGTTCGGCTTCGATCTACGCAGCGTCTGACCCATTCAGCCACATCTTCCGTGGTATGTGGCATTCATAAGACACGAGCGATCCTTTATTTCCTTTAGAGTTAGGCCCACTAGGTCCTCGGGACGACTGCAAAAATGTGTATGAAAGAAAGTATGGCATAGGGAGGCCATACGCTCTAGGATCTATCTACTTGCCACCCGGGAAGCACAACCTTATTGCCCGAGAGCAAGAGTGAAAATAACATGTACTCGAGTAACGGCATCTAAACCGTGCGGTTAGCTCATCACTCAGAGGATTGCATGATTAGCGACAATGCAATGATATGAGGACACACGTTTTGAGATCAATAGAAACCAATGTGCTTTGAACGGCCAATTCCAGGCTTCCTGGGATGGGAAATAGCGTATCGGGTAACTGGCTAAACTTCGGGCGTTAAACACCGTCGGGAGATGAGCACCAGGCATTGCTCTGTACCTAGTCTGGACTTACAACTTAACCGAGAGACCAGCGGAGCCTGTAAGGCGGGGGCTACTGGATTCATTACCACAATTGAACAAATGATAAAATGTTATCGGGGGATGAGGAAGCTGGACCCCGAATTCGATGAAGCGTAGGCTTTGCTGTCAGGTACCTAGGTACTGTACTCTAAATCCCAAGACGCCGAGAACATGTTCGCACAGAAGGGCCGGAGGGTCTGTACGCACTAGGCACAGTATGGTGCAGGACATCTTGTAGCTTAGCTTAAACTTCCGCGTGAACTAGACTAGACTCCAATTGCCTTGAAGGCACCTCCAAGGTGCAACCAGTAGGAAGAGGCGGTCCAGAGGTGTTTCTCGAAGTGTGGGTGTGGCATCCCGTCAGCCCGCTTCTGGCCACGGTTTGACGGGCCGTAGGCGTGGGGCGAGACACACTCCGTCCATCCCACCAAGCAGGGGGCCAGGCCCATGGTGCTTCCTGGGTACGGCATGGTACATTGACTTGCATCCTCGGCCGGTGAGGTACGTCCACCCGCCGCCTGGCGAGCATGGAAGGGGTAGCTTGAGGGTAGTCGGGCGGTTTGGCCGGCGAGACGATGCTGGTCTCTCTGATTCTGAATAGTGTACTGGCCAATAACCGCTTCCGTAGCGGCGTCAGCCCGGCGTAGTGGGACGATACTCTTGCGGACAGAGGCAAGACTGGTTCTCTAAGCGTGCTACTCCTATAGTATGTACAATGTCTGTCCCTCAATGACCTTGACAAGTTACCTACCTGGATCGGTGGATTCGACTGCTTTGGCTCACATGTGGCTATCGCTAATAACAATAGGACTATGAACAACGGCCTATCCTTACCTCTCATTGATCGATTTAATTGCAATTAAACGCGGGATGAAGACCGTACCCGGCCAAGTCACAACGGGGGCACCCATCGAGTGTCACGTACGCTACGACTGGTGGATGCTCTAACCCTGATACTCCCCAACGCGAGCCGCCATTCGCGGTCGCATTGGGACATTGCAAACTTCCCAGGCCAGGACATGGCGGCAGGAGAGGCACGGTACAGTAGACATACATGCATACATACCTCCATACATAGTGTAGACAGACAGAGTTGCACGCTATACCCACATGATTAGCCCCCATGTCCTCTAGGCCCATCGCTGATGCCCATGTCTGATACATGGTACCTGGCTGGTCCCGTGGAAACAGTGGACAGCTGGGCCGAAGCGAGCACGAGAGCAAAAAGACAGAGGGATGGCAAAGCCAGAGTCGACAGATTGCGCCGGCTCCAGGGCCCAGTCCACCCGTCAACACCAGAAGCAAGCTAAATTCGCCATTTGATATGTTAATATATGGAGACGGACATTTAAATACTGTCCACATCCACCAGCCCCCGTAGGCCACTGGGCCACCGTCTTGAAAAGAGATGCTGGAGGGTTCTGACCAGAAAAAGACGACAGCGATGGCAATTCACATCTGAGTTCTCCAACAACTACAATCAGAAGACCAATCTGGAATAACAAGCTCGCTTCGTTGCGGATCTCGCTCTTCTATTCTCTGCTGCCGGCAATCATTACTGGTCAGCTGTCCACATCCGCGTCCGAACTACAAAAAAGACTTGGGTTATCTGATCTCTTTGGAACCCGACGGATCAAGTTAAAACGAGCATCTTTGTGCATGTATGTACAATTCTCATCTGTCTGTCTGTACAGCACATCAGAGATTCTGCAGTGCAAGTAGGGCGATCGACCTGTCTCCAAACACCACTACCACGACGCAAGGAAATAACACCGATCATTAGTACATGATTTGGCGCCGTGCCTGTACCGCTAAATTTGCAAAGGAGGGTGAGGCGGCGCTATAATCACCTACATCGCTAGGCGATCCTGCACTGTTCCATCCAGCCTGGGTAGTTTTGCTCGGGTTTCGCCAGATCTGGATAGCTTGTTGAACTCGGGGCTTTTACAGGCCAATCGCACTTACATGAGCTGATCTGGACGTGGAACGGGGGAACCTGGAGAGAGACAAGACAAGACAGGACCGAATACTGGAGGACAACATTCGCAGTACCCAGAAGTATTATTCTGCACAGCTTGCACGAGACCAAGGTCAACCAACCCCTTCCCCCCACTGCAAGTGTGTATGTACTGCACAGTACAGTGAGTGGCTGGTGGCACGCATCTTGCCCCTTGGGCACCAGGAAGCTCCGTCAGGGACGGGGACTGTTACCCCGCGTTGGGACGACTGGGGCCAGGCAATTTCTGGGCAGCTATTGAGCAGCGAATCAAGAGGCGAGAGAAAGGCGTGAGAAGTGCCTGCACCGAGAGAAAGAGACAGAGAAGGGAATATCGTGGAAGAGCAAGAAGGTGTAACTCAGTGACGGGTGAATGACACAAGTATTGCTTGTCTTCGAGAAACTAAGCAAACAAGTGATTGATCTATCTGCCAAGGCGAAGACGGTCTAGACCAAAGAGCAGAAAGAGCAAGAAGAGAGAGCGAAGGAAATTGAGGGCACCGGCAAACAGACAGACCAGACAGACCAAGACCGCGAGAAAGAGTTTAGCCCCTTATAAGGGCCCGCCCCGAAAAGACGGAGCCCCAGGAGAGGAAGAGAAAACGGGCAGCGGAGGAGAAGGAGGAGCGAAGAAGAGGAAAAGAAGGCAAAGAAGGACAAAGCCAGAGCCAGGGCAATCTTAACACTGCCAATATTAACATTGCTGCTGCTAACACCACCACCACTAACAAGACTAATAAGACTACGACTAATAACGGTATTGCATGCCCCCGGGACGAGGAGGGGCATCAGCCGCCGCCGCCGTTTCTGGCCGTTCCAATCAAAATGCCCGTCTCCCAGCCTGTAACGTTGGCGATTGGCGCCTCGTCGCTGAGGATAAGTGGCCACAGGGCCCCGATCCGCCGTTCCTCGAGGAGGACAACCACCACCAGCACCACGAGCACCACCAACAACAGTAGCAGCAGTGCGACGAGCGCCGGCAGCGGTAACCTGAACATTGGTGCTATCATCAGCAGTAGCAGCAAGACAATGACGGCCGCCACCATCACTGTCCCTACAACCATTGCTGCCTCTTCTGCGACTGCTTCTGCATCTGCATCTGCGCCTGCTTCTGGCTCGGGCTCTCCAATTCCAGGCGCCGGAAGTGCGATTGCATCCGGAGCCTCTGTAGAGTCGTCGCCTGCGGCTAACACCAATGCTGCTGCTGCTCTGAACACACCGCAGCAATATCATCCTCCGGGCACGAGCAGGAGCCAGCATCGCATCTCCAAACCCAACCGCAAGGTCTTTGCCAAGATTAACAATATGGATCCGCCGGTGCAGTCCTTTTACGGCTCCGAGCCCATCCCGCTACCCACGCGGTTCGCAAACATCAAGCGCCGCCTGATCCAGGGCAAGGAGACGGCCGTCATGGCCTCGTGGCGTCGCCTGCTCGCCGCCATCAAGAGCGAGGTTGCTCACATCCAAGCCCACGGCACAGACCTCATCCCCATCATTGACTTTGCCGACATTGACGACCCAGCCAAGGTGGCGCCGTTTGAGCGCAGCCTGAAGCGTTACGGCGTGGCTGTTGTTAGAGGCGTCGTCTCCAGCGATGTCGCCGAGAACTGGATCCGTGAGACCCGCGAGTACATTACCAAGAACCGTGATCAAATCAAGCCGCCACCGCCCCAGGATCCCACCTGTTTCGACCTCTTCTGGACGCCGGCCCAGGTCGCCATACGCGCTCATCCAAGCGTCCTAGGCGTGCAGAAATGGGCCATGTCCTTCTGGGAGACCAAGGGTGCAGACGCTGACCTATCGCGCATTGCCACGCGCTTTCCCATCTCGTATGCTGACCGTCTGCGCATCCACGACAGCAGTATCATGGGTAGTAATGCTCCCCCAGTCAACGGCAACTCTGCCGCTGACAGCCTGCAGGCCAGCGCCGGCTCGACCCTCATCGCTCAGGTCGACAGCGGCAGCCTTGAGCGCTGGGAGCCCGACGGCTATGGTCGGGGTGGCGCCTACGAGGCCATCTTCCGTGGAGATTGGGAGGAATTTGACCCTTGGGATCCCGCTGGCCGCGTCGGCGTGACCCCCGACCTGTACAACGGAGATGGCTGTTGTAGCATTTTCCGTATGTTCCAGGGCGTGCTAGCACTCACTTCAGGTGAGCCGGCTAGCATACGCGTGCTGCCCTCGCCAAAGCTCGTGGTCGCCTATCTCCTGCTGCGCCCCTTTTTCTCGTCCAAGACAAAGCTGCCGGCCCTGCCCGACGATGAGAGCGCCAGCCCAGAGACTGTCGCCGAGTGGGAGGCCTTCCTGGATCCAGACAACTGGACCCTCGACTCGGAGCAGACGACTGTTATTCATGGCGCCGTGCCCGGCCATGCGCAGCGCATCACGGAGCTGTGGCACCCGCACCTGCGCTTGCGCAAGTCCCTCGTCGAGATACCAACCCTACGCGCTGGCGACTATGTCATCTGGCACTGTGATGAGGCGTATAGCATACTGACCGCCGGCGCTAGCAAACCAGGCACGCCATCACGCGAGTCTTCGTCGCCGTCTATGCTCATGTACACTCCCGCTTGCCCTCTGACTCAGACCAACGCGCTCTTCCTCGCTCGGCAGAGGAAAGCGTTCCTGCTCGGACAGCCCGGCCCAGATTTCGACAGCATTGGCTCAAGCCTAGGCACTGAAGCGCCCCACGAGGGCCGCCCGGGCAAGGACGAGATTGCGGCTGTAGGGGGCCAAGATGGTCTGCGCGCCATGGGACTTGCGCCATGGGAACTCGACGCCGCCAAATCTGGCACAGCTGCTGTTGTTTCCAAAGATGAAGATAAGGACGATAAGATGGATCTAGATTCGGACAGGAAATCCATCTCGTCGCGGTCTGATGGCGAGGCCGAGGTCGTCCGACTAGCCAACATCATCCTATTCCCAGACAGATACGATTTTTACATCCCAACGGAGGCAACGGACGAGTCAAAACCAAGGATCAACGGTCGTGCTCAAGCAGAACAGATGGCTGCGACGAGGCAGCTGATTGCCCGTGTTCTGTCATAAAGCTCGGCTTTGCATCACGTCCTTCACAGAAAAGGGAGCTCATGCATAAGATGCATCCGTAATTCGGAATCTATGAATCCACCACGGGGAGACAATCACGGCTTGAATTTAGACACATCATTGCAGTGCATAACATAGGTGTCATACGATGAAGCAGCGCGGTTAATCTATCCAATGCTGTCGCACTTTCGCTTCTCAATCGTTGACACAACAGAGATTTGCATCTGCATTTAGTGGAGGCCGCTACCAGCTCGCCAAAGACCACTCTGCGAGCAGGATTAACGGTACGGCGGCGCTCTTCCCTACTGAGCACACCTATACAGAGAGCAAAAACTAGGCGTTCGGCGTCTTTGAAGAGTTGATTATGACTCGGTCTTCGAACATGGGTGGGGAACAAGTGACTTGTATTATGGAACCAATCCGGAGTTGTCCTCACAGGCAATATACTCTTTTGCCAATTACGTAGTTCATAGAAAGTCGCTGTTATATACTAATCCAGTGCATTCTATTGGACGAGAAGCTTGGATGTGACCTGGAATTTTCTGACTGAGCTCTATATATTTTGAACCTTCGATAGGAGCGAACAAGGGTTCGTTCGTACAGCGTGTTGCGAGCGGTTGGTGAATGTTTGATGCCGTTGGTTTACCCTATTCACCCAAACAAGATGGGACCCCCCAACCGCCCACTGCCTTTTCCCGAGCTCGCAGTTGCCGTCGACAAGCAGAAAGCGGCGGCTAATTCGGACTTCCCCCACGATGATGTTCTTCTCCGCAACGAAGCCCTTTGTACGGGCTGATTGATTGGTATCTACGCATCACTCATTGGGTCACTACATGCGGACCAGGTGCTTGCACCATTGCTGAAGCTTAGACTGCTAACGGGCAAGCCTGTAGTCTTGCGGGGGTAGAATGCTTGGCGGCTGTTGTGAATATATCATTCAGTTCAGACGGATATCGGCTTCGATGTTTGCAAGACCAATTCCAAGCCGTAAGAGTCGTCGGTCCGGCTATACGACGAGCCCCAGTCACCACCTCCAGGGCATTACATAGAGGAAAACTAGGCTAGGGAAACCAGAAATAATCGCCACGCTTGTACTGTACAAACCTATATAAATATAGAGTTCGGATTCCTGTAGTTGGACCTTCTCGCTTTTGAAAGGAGAATGTGAGTCCGACTTTTGTCGCCTCTGTAGCGCCATCATGGCCATATTACTAGCACTAGGAGTGCTTCTCCTGCTACCCATACGTCTCACTTTAGCTGTGGGGGTTGGACCTCGACAAACACAGACATTGAAGTACTGCGCTGCGGATGGAACTTGCTATTCTGAATTCATCGCACCAAACTCGAATATCAGTTATCGTATTGCCATTCCGGATACGCCAAGTGCCTCTTTCGACATACTTCTTCAAATTTCTGCCCCATCGACTATAGGATGGGCAGGACTTGCCTGGGGTGGAGTAATGTCCAAGAACCCCTTGACTGTGGTCTGGCCACACGGTAATTCTGGAGTTGTTTCCTCGAGATGGGCAACGTGAGCGCAACTTGTCCTAGAGGTTGATGGATTATGAACTAACCATCGCTACAGAGGTCACACCCTACCGGGGGCATACACAGGCGCAACCTATACGGTTCTACGATCTTCGAAAGATACTTCTACGTGGCAGATTGATTTGCTTTGTACCGGATGCAGTTCGTGGGAAGGCACTTCACTCAACCCAAATGGCACGAACTCATTCGCCTGGGCAATGAGCTCCCGACCGCCCACAAATCCAGCAAGCAATACTAGCGGATTTCCTGCTCATACGGCCAAAAGCAAGTTCGATCACGACTTGAGTGTTGCGAAGCTTCCGGCAGCAAAGTTTTCCGCATTGGTTCAATCTCTAGGCGCTCCGACAGTCAGCGCAACGCCAGGTTCAAGTTCTAATCCGGCTACTGCAACACCGCCGCAGACTACGGTGACTAGTCAAGAGACACCTGGTACTTCACCTACATCAGCATATACCTTTCAGCCTAGCTCGACGCAGATTGCATCATCCTTGAGTGGCACAGCTTCAGTTATCACTGGTGTCACGACGTTACCGAAGCCAACTCATTCGTTGTCAAGCTTGCCAAGCAACTCCACGGCCGCAGTTGTAAGCACAGGAGTTACGATCCTTCCGAGTTTAACCGTGAAGTCGACAACTGGTGCCACGATTGCTACCCCGATATTGAGTACTTCCAAAGTAACAGAGACGGAAACTTTCCCCTTCGATCCGCCAATCCCCACGACAACCTTTACTATTTCGAGGATTCCCGATTCGCCGTGGACTCAAACAATCCCATTCATCAAGTCAAGTAGTGTAGTATCAGTACCAACGATTGCCCGCTCGTCTTCCGTCCGTCCGTCTCCCGTCCGTCCATCTCCAGTTCGTCCAACACCGCCGCGTGGTCGCCCCCCGCCTGGAAGGGGGCCTCCTTGGAGACACCACCCGCCTTAGCCGTTTTCGGTTTGAGTCTACTAGTGATAACCACGAGACCATTAAGTAGCTTTGATTATGCGAGGAGCAGAGGGTATTACTAGAGTGGGAGAGAGTTGGGAGTGAGACGAGTTGCAGCTCAGACACTATTTATTCTTACGCAAAGCCCTCAATTGCATGTGTACTTAGCAGAAAGTACTTACATTGTCTTTAATTTGAAGACACAGTGCATGTATTTATGAAAAAGTGAGTTTCGTGATTTCCGATGTTCACATAGCAATGACAAAATGTCGCGATTAATCGGCGGTGAAACGATAGTGGCTCAAACCGAGTGCCGAGAATTCTAGGCAGTCAATCGGCCACGCCGAACACCGATGCGGTAGCTGATTGTATAACTGGATCAAAGACCTCCAAAATATTCACAGAGCATTCTTCAATTTTTAATTGACCTCTTAAGACTGTTCCGCGACTTCGTTTTTCTGTAGTCATGACGCCGCCTACCCCGCTTCCCGACGGATACACAATCCACGCTGGCTTCCCACCAGTTGCGGACTACCGACAGATCCGTGTCGCCTCAGGGCTCTCTGCCCGAACGGAAGCCCAAGCTGTGGGCGCAGTCACAGGCAGCTGGTATGGCTGTTTCGCGGCGTATCAGGACCCTTCTCAGCCTTCATCGCAAAGTCAAATTGTCGGAATGGGGCGCATCATTGGAGATGGGGGGTGGTATTTTCATATCGCTGACATGGGTGTTCTGCCTGAACACCAGAAGAAAGGCCTCGGAGATGCAATACTGAAGAATCTCCTGGAGTATATCAAGACAAACGCCGCCGAAGGCGATCCTTATGTCTCGTTATTTGCAGACCCACCAGGACGGAAATTGTACGCGAAGAATGGATTTGTTGATGGCGCAAAACATGATGAACTTGGGATGGTGCTCGAGAAGCAGAAAGTCTAAATTGCCAAATAGGACTGTCTCAACTTATCGACCTTGGGGCGTCATGCTAGAGCGAACTCCAAGTTCTCGAACATCTACCTTGTCTCATAGATCACAAGCGATGTGCGTTGTGAGGCGTTCAGATTACGGCAAGAGCCATGTATAGATGCAGATAGATCTTTGTCAATGAGGATTGACATCGAGCTTCAATTAGAATATAGCAAAGTTAATATGAGTCTAGTCTTTGTCGATTTTGATTGATATGCCTATACGCTTGACACCATCTGTCTTCCATTCAGGATCTTCTGGTAGCTCGATTTGAAACCAACGCTTCATCCTTTCCCTTAGTACTTCGTAGTTTGCACCCATGCGAGTCACCTTCACCTGCATTTGGGTGAGATCAAGAATGGTGCCTGCTCTTTCATACAAGTGCCACTTCTGGAGCCCGTAGTCAACGATCAAGTCCGCTGCTTGGAGAACTTCCGGCTCAATATCTTCTACCCTGAATTTCTGGCCTTGGCCTGTCAAATTTGCACTCGAACCGACCATTAGTTGTCCATCCTCATCGTTCAAGCGACCGAGCTCGGTTAGGAATGGACCCTCCGGGATCGCGATGCCCATCGTATCGCCTTTTGTGCTTCGCCGCAAGGTCTCGTCGCTTAATTGTCGCAATCTCGGGTGGTCCTGATGATATCTGGCCGTAAATGCGACGAGACCTCCTAACTCTAAAGTCAGGACCCGGGTCATTTCAAACAACTTGGCGCTCGCCTCCGGCGTTTCACCGAGAACATGGAGCTCTGTGTGCTGTTTGTAGGACCCAATGATGCCCAGAGTGTGTCCCGGCTTGCGCTTCTTAGCTGCGAAGGCTCTCTCAATGCCCTCGGCACTGCTCGATACGATGCCGTAGCCGACATCAGTTGGGACGATCACGACCCCGCCTGATTTGAGTACATGAAATGCTTGAAGCGCATCACGTTTGACATTGGGAATCGAATCTTGAGAGGGGATAAAGCGGCTTTGCTTGAATGATGCCATTTTATTTATAAGAATTGTTGTTGGGCGGAAAATGATGTCTTCGGACTGTCGGCTCCTAGAGCGTCGTTGAATATCAATGGTATGCGCTCGGTTATTGGGCCGATATCAGTTGCGTGACGCACTGGATCCGGAAGGGTAAGCAAAAAGCACTAGTGACATCTGCAATGATATGGTGGTTAGGGCTTTGAATGTTTTTCTAATAGATTTTAACTCGAAGGAATTAATCTAGAGATTCGGCGCAAATTCTGCCTGGGTTGAACGTGTGGACTTTTAACACCTACATCAATTACCTGCGAAAGTGGAGAAAGCTACTTGATAGACACAGATATGGATAGACTCAAAACACAAATAGCTGGGCTTGAATCCATACTAGATCTGGGTTATCCTAGAAAGGTCCCCAGATCTAGCTCCGTCACCCCTCTGACCCCGATTTCGCCAATTGGAAGCGCTACTCAAGACTGTATGACAGGTTTCTAGAAGTCGTAACGGAAATCAGGATTCTCCTTGTCCGTCAGATCCTCAAATGCATGAGAGTGCGAGATCTTCTCATCCACCTTGTTCAGATCAGTCGCGGAAGCTTCGACAACCAATGCGGCAGCGGCGGCGGCGCGCTTGGCCTTGTTGCGTCGGGTTAGAAGAATCCTCAGTATGGCTAGAATGATGTTAAACAACACGTAAAGGCAGAAGTGCGCGGTAAATCCCTTGCGGTAGCGTGGAGCATCGCTGCTCTGAAAAATCTGAAAGAATCTTGTTAATACGGGGAGACTTCGGCTGGAGTGTAGAATGTTAAAAGAAGCGAAATTAATGGACTTACTTGCGGTGCAGTCATATTCCCTGCTGCCCATGCGACGAAGGTAATGGCCAGCGTAGTTGACTTCTTGGTCTGGCCGGCAACATTTCGTGAGATGAGAGAGAAGATGAGATTACCTTCTGCCAGGTAGAATTGAGTGCAATAGAAAGCAATGAGCAGACCAATCCGGGTAGAATGTGTGGGCTGAATACTGTAGATAACCGCCGTTCCAATAATGGGAGGACTACTCAGATGTTAGCATAGTCAGGATGACGTAGATGGATGTCTACGAACATAGTCCAAGCCTGCATGATGTGTTATTAGCTGCGTACTCGTCAACAAAATATGGTGTAGATCGAACTTACATGCATTACCCAGGCCGTCTGCCTAGTCCAAGTTGCGAGTGAAGCACCGCCCACCATCACTATAATGGTTACTGCGCCCTGAGCAATGTTCAACAGCTGAGTCTGGAGATATGTGAAGCCAAAGGAAGAGATAATCAGATTGGAGAAAACACCCAAGCCACCAATGACAAGCGTTGAAGTGATCTGGAGCAATACATAGCACCAGATGATAGGATCCGTGACGGCCTCGAGCATCTGGTATCGTTTGTATGTTTTGTTTTGGATTCCTGTCTCATTGGCACGGACTCTCTCGATCATCAAGCGCTTTTCGTCTTCGGTGAAGCACTTGGCTCGGACTGGGCTGTCAGGGAGCCACCAGCCAATGAAGCAAGCCCAAACGCATGTCGCGCATCCAAGCACGAGGAAAAGAAGCTGCCATGAGTAGATGGCGTGGTCTTTGTAGTGTGATGTGCCCCAGGCAATGATGCCTCCGACCTGTTTTACACATGTAAGCTTGGGAATTTGGGTGACTTCTAATGTCCTTCTCTTAAACATACCATTAGTTGCACACCCGTCATGCAATACCACAGGGATGTCAGGACGGATTGCTCTCGCTTAGTATACCACATGGACGTCCTAAGCTCGTTAGCATCACTATTCCGGATCGTGAAAAGGCCAAACTCACATGATAATAAAAGATGGCTGAACACAAGACTCGAAAACTCCCAATAGGAATCTAACGGTCATGAGAGCACCGAAATTCTTGGCGGCAGCCGAACAAGCCACGATGGCACCCCAACAGAACACGTTGACTGCAAGATACTTTGCAACGGGGAGCTTCTGGAGGAGAAGATTGGTAGGGTACTCGCCCACCAAGACTCCCATGTAGAGGATTGTTCCCAGCCAGCTACATTCCTGTCAGCGGCGAATGGTTTCTCGGCGAGGACAACACCTCAGAAGTCTCGACATTGATAGCATCATGGGCGCTTACCTGTATTGTTGACCATGAAGATGGGCGTCTTTCTGGATGCCCATGACGGACGCAAAGCCCAGGGTTCCTTTATCAAGAGATTGGCAAAAATAAGTACCAAGCATGCAAGCTAGGATGCGTCGGTTGACCGTCCAGAACAGTCTCTTGTTGGTCTCTTCGTCGACATAGATGGCCTCGCGTCCAGCATACTCGGCGGTCTAGAATACATTAGTGACTTGCCGGAAATAGAATGAATGGACATCGCGGCAATGCTCTCACCTCCTTGTCGTGGTCGACATGATGCTCTGGCACGCGGTCCGCAGCAGGAGTGATGGCGTTTTCATCATGGGCCGGAGAGGTGGTGGTCTCGTGTTTGTCCATGTTGATGGACTCTGTCTATCTCTTAAGACGTATGGCCTGGCGTAGATGTTGTGATAAATGCTTTCTAGAAAGCAACCGCTACTTGCGAAGGCAAGGCTTTTGATACTGCTGCGTGGCTAAGTATCTTATTGAACAAGCTCGGTTGGACAGGGAGTGTTCCTGGAGTGCGTGTGGTCCCTTGCAAACAAGCCAGGTTTATCTACTTGGGGAGAACCAGCGTTGTATGCCGATGAGGAGTCAGCAGACGGGCGTTGCGGCCCCCGGAAAGCGTACTCCAGTTACTCCAGAGACTCCAGAATCAAGTCAGAATCTGAAGGGAGGGTCCAGAGTGCGTCCGCAGGCTATCCCGGCGGCAAGAACGGCACCCTGGCCCATCTTTAGTCCCGGGGAATCTGCTGGCGCGCTGGCTCTCTCGACAACGATCCTGCCTGGCTTTTTCCGAGACGGTGGGCAAGATGCGGCGGTGTGTCCGGGAGATGGCCCGGCGCCCGGAGCCACAGCATCGGATCAGGTTGGGGTAGGAGACGTTAGGCCAGTTTAGGAAATGCCCCCCGCATCCTCCACATTATTCACGAGCACGAGCGCAGACGAAGATTGGAACGCTAATGATGAGATGTGGACCCCACACCCGCTAGTCCAGGAGGGCGTTTTTGGGGAAGCGGGCGAGGAAACAGGCGATTGCCCTCTATCCTTCCATCCCCCTGATGCACATCCAAGAACAACGACTAACGAGCCAAACACCACCGCAACGCTTAGGGAGATAGTAAGGACTGACGAGTTGATCGAGTGGCGAACCTCTTACCTATCTTATCTCCTTTTTGCCATCACACAGATCCTCAGGCATGCCGTTCCGGTAGGGCTTGTGTCGGTATTGTGTTACGCCGTCGGTTCTTTTGTGGGCGTGTAATTCGAACCTACTACGTGTTATGGCCATTGATAACCGACTTCACGCGTGACTCTGCTTCAACACTCTTGCCGCTGCACCGACGCGCTTCTATCTTCCTATCTATCTGTGACTACCAAGCCGAAGTTCATCCTCTCAAGCCGAAGCCAAGTGTGCATTGTTACCAGGAACTAGTCGATTATAAGCCCTACTTGACAGTCTAGGAGATTCCATTCGGGATTTGAATTGGGTGAACAAGCAGAGCCGAATCATCATGCTAGACCTCGCTGAGCAACTGGAGGAGGAGGTATCCGGCTCCGAAGGTGAAGAGAATCCGCCTGATGCAGCTGGCCTCGGCAAGAAGCGAAGAGCCACGGCGAAGGAGGACGGACCTGCGTAGGTCACAAAATAACACCGTAAAAGAGCCAGCGCGCAAGACCAAGTTAACGATTCCTAGATGCCAGTCCTGTCGGCGCAAGAAGGCCAAATGTTCAAGGCGCCATCCATGCTCCCACTGTGAGCGGTATAGTAAGTCGCAGCGTTCTTTCCACAGCGCCCGATTCCAGGGCTCGCATGCGTAAGCAACTCCCTACAAACGCTTACTTACGCTTTGAAGACCTCGAATGTGTCTATGACGAGAGGAAATTAAAGCCTGGCATCAGGCCAGGTGCCATTGAGCATCTTAGCCAGAGATTAGGTAAGGTCTTCTCACTAGCATACCTGTTCGACGGCAAGAATTGCTGACAAGAACTTAAGCAACCCTTGAGAATATGTTCCTCGGCCAGGGTGTTCTTTGGCAGCAGGTGTGGAAGTGCCTGGACGCGATCAGCGCCCAGAGTCCTACAGACTCGGGCTATTCACTAAGCACGGACTCACGTCTTCAAGGTCAGACATTGCAAGCCTGCACGGCGCAGCTGAAGAAGACACTGTCATCCATCTCGAGTGAGGTGCAAGATAGGGCAACCGAAGCCGATCCTGGCCCCGTTCCGTCTCCCAAACGACCTCGTCTCGATGCATGGAAAGAAACTGGCGAGCCTACCCAAGGCCTGGTGATAGACTCAAGCCATACTACAGGTGAACAGGGTGATGTTACGCTACCCGACGACCTCTTGGCGTCCTTAGTAGACATTTACTTTCTTCGGATACATCCTTGGATTCCAATGCTACACGTCCGCCAATTCCGTCAAAGCATGGTTGATCTTAGTCAACGGAAGCGGTTGACTACCATATTTCATGCCATTGTCTCATTGTGCGTTCGGTTCTCTGATGATCCGAGGCTTGGAGATGCCAAAATGAGACTGGAACTTGCTAGGAGGAGCCGCGAAACAGTCATTCTTCAGAGCATGCAGTCATTCTCCGTAGAGAATCTCCAGGCTTTGATAATATGCGCTTTTGACACGGTAGGGTCTTCCAAAGTTTTTCCCTCACTATGAACCCTCGACTAAGCTAATTACTCCGTTGTAGATTGGCAGTGGGCGCAGTCCGTCAGCATGGGTATGTACGTCTGAATGAAGCGTTCACACAGAGCTAACGTGGAATATATAGTCTATCGTGGGTAGCATGACAAGGACTGTAGAGCAGCTACAGCTAAGCGTCGAAGATGAAGACCAGTCGTCGGCAACAGATGCGAGGGTTCTTATCAAAAGGATAGCATTCCTACCACCGGCTCGCGACTGGAGTGAGCTGGAAGAGAGAAGACGAGTCTTCTGGAATGTATTTTTGATGGACCGCTTCTGTAGCATTGCCACAGGCTGGAATCTGTCCCTCACAAGTGCCGATGTCAAAAGACGTCTGCCTTGCGAGGGTGCTTTGTGGGAGCATGGCAACAGTCTCAATACGCCAACGCCCTATTTTGGAGTTTCTGACCAGACAAGCAGAGGCAGCAGCGTACTTCCAAGTGCCAGAGCCGAATCAGAAGATCAGGAATCCTTGGGAGGCTTTGCGTACTGCATAGAGGCCACAGAAAGCCTGAGTCTGGTGACATCGTTCTTCCTACAGCAGGCGGTGGATGTTTCCAAGCCACAGGATGTTCAATTATGGTTGATGCGATTTAAGCAGCTAGATCTCCGTCTTGTACAGTGAGTACCTCCAGATCTCAGTCTCGAAATGAAATCTAACAGTCTATGCGCAGGTGGAAAATATACCTTCCCGAGCGGTGGCGCGAGGCTTGTGCACTAAATCCCGACGGCATCATGGACCCCAATCTAACGCTGGCACATATCACACATAACACAGCCGTGGTTCTCCTACATCAAGGAGTCGCCTACCCTTCTTTAGAATGGCAATCAATGCCAATCAGGTTGCCTTCTACGTCGAGCGCGGAGACATGTCTTGTTGCGGCAACGGAAGTTGCAATCATTGCCGAGAAGTTCCTTCAAGGCTCTGATATTTTGACCAATCCCCAGTTTGCATTCTGTCTCTTCATCTGTGGCAGAATGCTGTTGGCGCACTCATCTTACTACAACATTAGGCTCCCTTCAGAATTGGATTCCCTGGTGAACAGCCTTTGGGAGATCTCGCGCAGATGGAACGGCCCTTATGGTTTGCCAGTTTCAAGCGCTTCGAGCGAGAACATCGCCTCGAAGTTTGCCTCACGTCTTCTCCATGCAAGGCAGATGGGCGCATCCTTGGACATCCGGCAAGCCGTGTACTCAGAAGATCAAGGGGGGGAGACAACAACATCTGGCCTCACGCCAAACAAACCTACAAGCTTACTACCTAATGGCACTATACATAACGCATCACATCTTCTAGAGTCTCCAAGTCGGACAACCCGTCAACAGCCGGTGTCTAGGCTAACTGATGGAACCACACTTGCGATGGATCAAGGAGAATCACCAGACAGCATATCGTTAGCCTTCCCTCCGTTGCCTCTGGCGTTTCAAGCGCAGCCATCAAGCGCAAACCAGACTGCTATGCAATCCCCAATATTGGCGTCTATGAATCAGCCTGGCGGAATTTACGGGGGAGATCGAGTTCCAGAATATAATGTTCAACCAGGGCGCATGTCTGTGGATGGCACCAACGCGGGGTTCGAAGATCTGAGTTCTTTCCTGGACTATTCCTTCCTTCCGAACCAGCGAGTTAGCATGTTCTCTCACCCTGTAGATAAGCCTCCTGGTATGACGTGAATATGGCTTATTTGCCATTTTCGTTTTCCGATATTCACGGTGTAATAAGGGCTGAGCGGGATCTTTAGGGTTGTTTATTACAAGGTGGGCAAAAAAGTCAATCTGTCTTTCCTAGTCTAATGCAATGTCTATACGATATGCACTGCTGTCGTATCTATCATGCTTTGCCATTGACTATACCGTTACCATTGTTCTTGAGCTGGTCAGTCCCCTCTGCAATGAACGGGCCTAGACCCATCTCAAGCAGCTTATTTCCCACCAGAAGGAAAAAGTAGTCTGCATAAACTAGCGAGTGATTTGCCCACCGGCGCGGCGCAAACTCGTAGTTGTTGATTGTGGCACCACTCAGAATAGCCTCGACTTCGCCGACATCAACTCCGAGCTGCGCCTCGTACTCCATCGCGCCATGTTCGACCGTTTTGATGGTCTCCTTCTGAACAATAAACTTGGCATGGGGATTTATATGACTCTCGCAAACCGCTGCTGTAATTCGCAATGCTTCTGCTAGATAGCCAGACTCTTCTCCCAAAGCTGTCAGGGCTTCATGTAGGAGTAGCATCCCGTAAGCTGCAATCATCGCGGCGCTTGTATCTGATGGATGCTGCTTCTTTGGTTCTCGTTCTACTGCGTCAAAGTCCCATGGTGGAATGCTCGAAGGAGGGAGTCGAGCGATGAAGTAATCAGCACAGTTACGCGACGTGCTCAAGAATGACTTGTCGTGTGTCCAGTGATATGTTTCTGCGAAACCAGCAATAGCCCACGCTTGACCTCGTGCCCAGCAGGAAGACGGAGAGTGGCCTTGATTCGTTAAGTTCGATTTGACGTCGCCAGTAAGCGGGTCAAACACAACGAGATGTATGGTAGAGGAGTCCGATCGAATATGTGAGCGTTGGGTGGTTCGGGCATGTGCCAGAGCGATATTGTACATTTCTTTATTTCCCGTCTGTGCCGCCACGTAGAAAAGGAGGTCGAGATTCATCATGTTATCCTGTTTATGTTAGCGATGGAGACCCCAGTAAGAGCAAAGGAAACTATTAATCTTTACTTACAATGATCATTAGGAAGTCTTTGGCAGGGTCTTGGAAGGAGTAGGCTTTGGTTTTGCACGTGTCCCATGATCTGAGTGCACCAACAGCAGGGCTGAATCGAGCTGACAGTGTCTTTGCTGTTGTTTTCAGAGTTTCAAAAGCTCTAAAGTCCCGATTCAGTATCCAAGCAAGCTTCGCCCAAGGGGTTATCATAAAACCCAGGTCGTGTGTCCCTTCAAGTATAGCGTTTTGGTGGAGATTTTCCGTCCACCACTTGCATGCAAATCTAAAATTCCCGTTTAGCTGATTATTATGAAAATTCAGATGGGTTATGTACTCTAACTGAAGTTGATGGAGACTTTGACCATTGGTAGACAACGAATGCAAGACGTGCGGGTATTTCCGTTGCCTTTCCAACAGCAAGTAAAGACTGCCAGGGAAGAAGCCAGACGTCCAGAAGCTTAGGTCTCTATACACATATTCGAATCCCCCTGGCTCTGTGTATTCCGGTATGAAAGTTGGAGGAGTTGGCTGAAAACATATTAGTACCTGAACACGAATTTGCAGTGCAAATAGACATACTTTGAAAAGTTGCCCTGATGCAACTTTCCAAATCTTGGCCTCAACTGAAGTTGAATACAATTCCTGTAACTTGTTTTCCTTTTCGTTTATGATAGACAAGATATTATCAACTGATGGCTTGATAGACGGCGTCTCTATTGCATCTTCAACAAGACGAGCACGCTTCCTCGAATGACCCATCTCGATTTTCCGTAATACACGGGCTCTAGTTGTCTGAAATGTTGAAGATTACCAATGCAAAACAAGAAATATCTAGATAGTTTCGAGTGAAGCTCTCGTCCTAGGTTATTGTTCCCTTGCTGGACTAGATGATTGCACGACCCCTGAGACTTGGGCTATCCCGACTCGATTGAAAATTGGATTGGGGCGGCTCTTGAGGAGAGACAAGTTGATTGCCCTGTAAGTATTTTGGTGGCGCTCGACGCTATAATCAGTCCGAGATACACTGGGTTGGAGACGCTGTCCCGAGCCACCGAGATGACAGGTCAAATCAATACTGTACACCTAGTTGCGGAGCACCGGAACAAGTACCGGAACCCAGTCCGGAACACTAACGGCGGCGGCGACCGGCAAGCCGCTAGGCAAGCCGCTAGGGTGGGCATACGCCCCAGCCAAGTGGGTATTGCCTGACATCCACCTAGCTCACAATCTTTGTCTCGTGTGATCTCCAGTTCTCTTTTCATAAGCAATGGCAAATCAATGCGCTAGGTGTACTTGTCCAGGTTGTGTACTAGCCGGTCCAAGATCCCAGTCACGAGATATTAAAAGATGATTTTTGTAACGTTTGATACGACCTCCGGTGGCTTCTTGTCGACCTGATCATTACTGACGTAGAAAATTTGGTGTAAAATATGCCTTTTGAGGATCTAAGTCTTTCGGCTTGGTAAACGCAGGTCTACAATGTGCACTGTTTGATTTTAAGTTGTGCTCGGAGGCTTTTGTGGACAGCCATCTCGCACCACTAGACCAAGATTCCAATACGTATCTACTGAGCAACAGGCTACCGAGGTCAAGAGTAGCGGAAGAATTCATGGTGTTGTACAGAAGGTTCTTCCGTATACTCAACTCATGACTAAAGGAAAAGTTCATCTTCAAAGTAACAATATTTATGGACTACAAATGTACAGTCCCAATGATTGCATTACTACATATAGAATTGTCTTCGAGTACAAACAGAGGACAGATCTATTAGCAATATGGCAATGCAGGATTTGAACAGCTCCCCGGGATGAAAGCTTGGCTGACTTTGGGTAAGTCCGGTTGAAGAATCTGGGCCGAAGGGTCCAAGATGTGATCAACAATATGGACAAGTCCCTAGTTGACACGGTTAGTGGCGAATTGAGCGAATGTGCTTCGCATACTGACATTAGTCACTGGTATGTCGGCTTCTGTGATGGCGGAGTTCCCGTTTAGCATCACCTGTCCATCGACATCTTGTGCACTGATATAGAGAAAAGTGCCAGTCTGAAGGCGCCGAAGCGTAGAATTGAATGCGCTACGCTTCAACTGTGAATTCGGAATATAATGGTGTTGAAGCACATTGCCGAGCCACCATTTGCCCTTTGGCGTTGCCGCCCAGGTTGAATAGTAGGCGCCTGTGTTGTTGAAGGCTGTATTCGATGGCGCCAGGAATGTGAACTGCCACGTCGTGGCGGTTGAGAATGCCTCTGAGAACCCTGGAATCGTGTCCATGTCAGTCGAGGGAATACTTTTTTTCAATTAAATGAATCATGCCAACATCATACCTGCGCATTGCTCAAGGACACTCGCAAGATTGCTGAGATCACTTCTCGACTTCACGAAATCCAGAAGAGTCGTAGTGGATGGACTTTTAGGAGGCACGTAAGTCCCTGATGGCACTGCAGCATATGCAAGAGGCTGTCGGTCACTGCTATCGCAAAAGGCGACGCCAGTGAGAGACAAAGACAGCAGGAAGTGAAGTTTCATGGTGATAGAACGGCTTCTAGAGTATCAAGATCGCAATGTCTACATGTAAAGGGTCTTTTCGAAGACTTAAAGAATGTGACTGGGCACTCCGGTAGTCCAGCCAATCTGCGAGGTGACTCGCGAGTTCAACGCGAATTGCAGATTGTTTTGTGAAAAGCCTACTAGTGAGGTTGCAGTGAGGGGAATGAGAATGTCGGGGGATTCTCCGGAGGGTTCTAAAAGGACCACACGAGGACTATCTCATTCTCGGGATGGAGCAGAAATTGGTTTCCATGAACCCCACAGGGGGTGGTGAGAGTTGTGTTACTCCAGGTGCGGAGAAAAAGCGGAGGAGACGGAGGAGCGGGGCATCAAGCCGAGAGTAATTGCAAGCCTGGTCGTGTAAAATGAATGGTCAAATCTCAGCCAGGACTGGCTTCCCTTAGAAACCGTCGACTAAATCTTTGCAGAGGGCACCCGCGTTCGTGAGCGAATCAGTTCCAACATGCTTTGGTTACTTGCCCTTGTGGCAGCTTCTTGCAATGCCGCGGTGAATCCAACAAAGCCGCAAATGGGTCTGTTTGTTCCATGTTATGATATGTGAGATACTTTACTTAAAGAAATTAGGATGGAACTCTTGGAACACATTCAAGGCCAATATCAACCAGAGCCTCATCGAGACAACTGCCAAAGCTATCGTTGACACCGGTCTATTAGAGGCGGGCTACAATTACGTTAACCTCGATGACGGCTGGCAGGCTTATTCGAGAGATGCAAATGGCCGCCAGCAAGCCAATATAACAAGGTTTCCAGATGGAATCAAGAGTCTCGTAGACTATGTTCATCGCCTCGGGCTGAAAATTGGGGTTTATAGGTATGCTCTCTTACCTCACTGTTAAGACTGCGATCTAACAAGCTCGAAAGCGATGCGGGAGTCTACGACTGCGCGTTCTATCCTGGAAGCTACGGTTACGAAGAACTCGATGCCAGTTCCTACGCTGCATGGGGTGTTGATTATCTCAAGTATGACAATTGTGGTGGTTTCCAAGCGAACACATTATCTCCCCAAGAACGCTTTCTGCGAATGGCCGATGCGCTTAAAAACTCTGGACGGGAAATTTTCTACTCACTCTGCCAGTGGGGCAACCAGTTTCCTTGGTTCTGGGCTGATCAATTCGCTGATTCTTATCGGATGTCTGGAGACATCAAAAGCTCGTTTGCTGCTGATAGTTCTGGTGTGTGCCAGACGGCTTACTGCCTGAACACAGGATATGCTGGTGTCAGTGTGCTCACTATGATACGGAAAATGCGTGAGCTTTCTCGCTTTCAAAAGCCGGGTTCATGGGGTGAGTGGCCTCCGATTATCTCGGTCGACGATTCTAATGATGTGCTAGCTGATATGGACATGTTGGAAATTGGTACGGGAACGATGAATTTGTTTCAAGAACAAACTCACTTCTCATTCTGGGCAGCATTGAAATCTCCATTGATCATTGGAGCTGACGTCACGAAAATCAAGAAGGAATCCTTGGATGTCATGCTTAACAAAGAGGTGATTTCTATCTCACAGGATGATGCAGGAGTAGCGGTCAATTACCTACCGGACATCTCGATTGAAAACAAGACCCAAGTTTGGGCCGGACCTCTTAGTTCGGGAAATTCGCGGCACGTCATTCTTGCCTTGAACTACGGAGCAAATGCGACGGATATCACAATTCCACTACACAGCATACCTGACTTCGACACAACAGCCAAATACACCGTTCGGGATGTTTGGGCTGGCCGCAATTTATGCAAAATTACTGACACTTTAGTGCTCAAGAATGTCAGTGTACACGAAACTAAAGTTCTTGTGTTTTCGGAGTAGTGAAAAGTACGATAGACATGAAACATAGAGACTGAACTCGCGAATTTAACGGGTTTGCAGGACGCCTTTCCCCTCTTTACAATGATGATAGTGACAATTTCTAAAAGATAAGCGAGTAAGGAATACGATTTTCACATGGACGCTATGTCCCCATAGTAATCCTCGCGGGCTAGA